CTTTTATATATAAAAGGATATAAAATATATGTTATGTATATTTTATATAAACTTTATATGAAAATATACAAAATATATTTTTTGGTTTAAAGATTTTTTAAAAAATATTTTATTTACTTTTTTATGTATATGTGTGTATTGCCTGCATGTAAATAAGTGCACCCATGTTGTACAATGCCCTCTGACAACAGAAGAGGCTGTTGGATCCCCTGGAACTGGATTTAATGACAGTTGTTAGCTGCCATGTGGGTGCTGGGATTTGAACCCAGGTGTTCTGTAAGAACAGCCAGTGTTCTTAACTGCTGAGCCATCTCTCCAGCCCAAAAGATTTTTTAAAATTTATTTATATTGATTTTTTGTGTATTTCAAGCAGAATATCCCAAACAATCTTATTTATGTTTATACCTGCTTCCCAAATGGCACCCTCCCATAGCTTCCCACCCCCATTGGAGGCCATATACTCTGTCATCCCTGTTACTGTCCACTGTGTTGTCATTGCCCCCAGCTGTTCCCCAGTACTTGTCCATCTACTGAATCTAGTCAGTCTATTTATAGTTCCCTGTTTTAGGAAGATCAGCTCTTCTTCATCTAGCAGCAATCAGTTGCCAATATTCCTTTAGATAAGAGTGGGGTCTGCTATTCATTTTTCCAGTTCTATGCTGGGTTACTCTCTGGGAATCTCTTGGGCCACCCTGGCCACCAACTCAAAGGAAGGTATCTCCTGTATGGCATTGTTATGTAGCCTTTAGCTATACACATGGACTCTTAAAGAATTATATTGATCCCTTAATGTCTGGTTATACTTTCCTATTGGGTTTTTAAGACCATGCAGTTGGCCCAGATAAACCAATGTATTTTTATTCTTAAGGTCATTTGAGGATCTGTTCCTCAGGGGTCACATGGGCTTAGGAGGAGTGCCTGGCTCCTTTTACCAGTTCCATCTATGTGAAAATAAGTCAAAGTTCCTGCTTTACTGTGGCTGGGTTCACTTGGAAGCATGGAGGAAATGTTTCCTCTGTGTTGACCCTCCTTTTTGTAGACTGGACACTGGTTCATGTCCATCTGGTGGGGTCTCCACGGCCTCCTTGATCAAGAGGACAGGTGACTTACCACAGTTACAGGACATTTTGAAAGATGCTCCATAGTCACCTGGAACTTAGTTGACCTTGAAGGCAAGGAGCAAAAACTGTCCTTTAAGTCCCTCTGATCAGATTAGTATGGGCCTCAAAGTATGGCTGTTTAACATCCAAGAAGGTTAGTTCCACCAGTCTGGTACTTTTAATTACCATGTGCTATGTAGATAAAGCTTGGGCAAAGACCAAAGGTTCTTAGATAAACCTTGACCTATATTATGTTCCTTGAGCTAGTTGTATGTATAATTTGTCAGTAGGTTGTTGGACTAATATGATTCCCTCTGGTTTTTTTAAAACTAGCTAGGCACTATTTATCTTTCGCATTGTCTAACGCTTCCACCGTGGTTTCCCCATTTAAAGTGGCCCCATTTTCTCTGACTCAACCCTGATCTGGTTTGTAGACAGCAGTCCAACTCTCACTCCAACAGGGTCCTGCAGGGCGGGGTACTCCATAGTGTCCCTCATGGACATCATTGAGTCTGGACCATTGCCACTGGCCTGGGAGCAGGGCCCAGGAAGGCTGCTGGTCTTGGGCAGCTGGTGGCCGTGCCACTCAGAAATGCAAAGGGAGATGGGGGTGGGAAGAGGCCCCAAGGGCTCCTGTGGACCAGGAGAGAGGCTGGCGGGTTGTGAAGGCCCACGGAAGCAGAGGGAGGTGAGGGCCGGACTAGGCCCAGAGGGCTCCTGGTGACCATGAAAAAGAACTGGGTTCTTCTGGATTCAAGGGATCAGGAAGCAATGGTGGTTCCGGGCCTAGATGTCAGCCCTGGTGTCCAAGAAAGAGGCTGGTTGGTTGTGCAGCCCAGGAGAGGGAGGTGAGGGCAGGACCAGGCCCAGAGGGCTCCTGGTGACAGCGAGAAGGAACTGGGTTTGTCTGGATGCAAAGGATCAGGAAGCAGTGGTGGTTCCGGGCCTGAGGTCAGCCCTGGTGTCCAGGAAAGAGGCTGGTGGGTTGTGCAGGCCCAGGGAAGCAGAGGGAGGTCAAAATTTTTAAAAAATCCACAAGAATGGAACATGCAGGAAATGTGGGCCACCATGAAAAGGCCAAATCTACACATCATAGGCATAGAAGAAGAAGAAGCATTTCCTGTTAATAGTATGGACTAGATCCTCAACATGTCTGCAGAAGAGAATTTCCCAAAATTAAGGAAAGACGTGCCCATAAACGAATACAAGAAGCACATAGAACACTAAATAGGCAGGACCAGAAAAGAAACTACTCATGGCATATCATAGTAAAAACACTAAATGTACAGAAACAAAAGGATAATACTGAAAGCTGCAAAAGAAAAACAACACACATATAAAGGAAAACCCATCAGAATTACAGCTGACTTATCAATACAAAATATGAAAGCCAGAAGAGCCTGGACCAAAGTATTCCCAGTTTTAAACGACCATAGATGCCAACCAGAATACTTTACCCAGAAAAAATGTCTATTATAGATGAAGGGGAAAGAAAAATATGCCACGATACAAATAGGATGAAAGAATACATGTCCACAAAACCAGCCCTTCAGAGAATACTTGAAGCAATACAAAGAATGGGGAAAGGAACAACTATATCCCAGGGGCAACAGAAAGAAACTAAATGGAGGTGTAATTGTAGAAACACAAAATTAGAGAAAGAATGCAAACAGTAATCAAAATGACGGCAACCAATACACATGTTTCAATCATAACTTTAAATATCAATGGACTGAATTCCCCAATCAAAAGACACAGGCTAGTTGAATGGATTAATAAACAAAATCCATCCTTTTGTTGTCTGAAAAAAAACCCCATCTCCTTCGAGGACAAGCACTACCTTAAGGTGAAAGGATGGAAAAGAATATTCCAAGCAAATGGCACTAAGAAACAAGCAGGGTTTGCAATTCTAATATCTGACAAAATAGACTTCAAGCTAAAACTAATCAGAAGAGATAAAGAGGGTCACTTCATTCTGATCAAAGAATAATTAACCAAGAAGATATTACAGTCATGAATATATATGCACCAAACTCTGATGCACCCAACTTCATCAAAACAGTACCACAGGACTTTGAGACACAGATTAAACCCCAACTCAGTAGTAGTAGGGGACTTCAGTACTCCACTGTCTCCATTAGACAGGTCAACCGGACAAAGAATAAAAAGAGAGACATCGGAATTAAATGACACCATACGTTAAATGGATGTAGCAGACATCTACGGCATATTCGTTGCAAGCACCAAAGAGTACACTTTCTATTCAGCACCCCATGGAACTTTCTTAAAAACTGACTGCATACTGGGGCACAAAACAAACCTCAACAAATACAAAAAAAAATTGAAATAACTCCATGCATTCTATCAGACCATACCATAATGCAATAAAGCTTAAAATCAACATCAGAAGAAGCCCTAGTAACTACATGAACTCTTGGAGATTAAACAATACACTCCTGAATGATCAATGGGTCAAAGAAGAAATTAAGAAAGAAATAAAAGTATTCCTGAAATTAAACAAAAAGGACAATACAACACAACAAAACCTCTGGCACACTTTAAAGCAATTCTTTTGTTTTTGTCTTTTTGAGTCAGAGTCTCCCTGTAGCACCAGCTGTCCTGGAACTCACTATGTAGACCAGGCTGGCCTTGAACTCACAGAGATCCGCCTGCCTCTGCCTCCTGAGTGCTGGGATTAAAGGCATGTGCCACCACGTCTGGCCACTTTAAAGCAATTCTAAGAGGGAACTTTATAGCTGTAAGTGCCTGCATTAAAAAATCAGAAAGAGCACAAATAAATGACAACATTGCAACTCAAGAATCTGGAAAGGCAAGAACAAATTAAACCCAAACCCAGCAGACGAGAAGAAATAACAAAAATCAGAGCAGAAATTAATGAAATAGAAGCAAAGAAAACAATACAAAGAATCAATGAATCTAAGTGCTGGTTCTTTGAAAAGCTAAACAAGATAGACAGACCCTTAGCCCAGTTAACCAAAAGAAAGGAAGAGCAAGTCCAAGTCAACAAAATCAGAGATGAAAGGGGAAACATCAGAACA